CATGAGTTCGAGAAAGCATTGGAATTTTAGCATTTGCAGTGGCCATGTTAGATATTGCAGTGATCAGCTTGTCCATGACTGGTAGCATGACTTTATTCAAGACTTCTTTAAGCATCAATGCATGGGCCAGATTGTTAATGTCTTCAGATGTGCAAGCAAAATGAAAAAACTCAAGTACCTTGGATCATAAACAGGACAAGACATCCTCAATAAAAGAAATTTTTTGCTCTTAGATAAATAAAAATGAAATTATCATCATCATGTTGAGGCCATTGTTCTAAACAGGTTGACCAGAAAAATTTAAAGATAGCATAGATGTACCTTAGCTATCTCTAGATGTGATTGGCATCTTTGTTTCAAGAAATATTCCACTGCTTTCACATCATGGTTAGTCACTTTCTCGATATTCTTAACTTCCAAGGCATCATCCAAGCTAAATCCGTCAATCAATTCTTGCAAAAAAGATTCTGCTTCTTCAGAGAACCTTGGGACTTCAGGAACATCAGGAATTTGGGACAACTTTATCAACCACTTAATCTGCCAAGAATTTCTGTGTCAATGTTGCATTCCTATTATATTTATTTGAGTTCAAAGAATGGTGAGAAAAAAAGACAATAATAATTCGAGAATACATTCGGTAATTTTATTTATTTATTTATCATTTTTTGGGAGCTGGAGATGGAGGCGAGGGAGGGCAATAAAGATGGAAAAAAAGATGGACATGGATAAGAACAATCATAGATTCATACAATAATCGGTAATTTTATTTATTTATCATTTAATTGGGCTTGGGTGGTGGGGGTGGAGGGCGACGAGAGAATAGCATTTGTTAATAAGATTCTCATTTAAGACAATCTCCAAATTGATCTTGGTTTTAGCATATTCAGGGAGCAAAATGTTGGAAATGCTTCCCGTTAAGCACTCTTACCTCATGAGACAATTTTTCTGGAGTATCAGAAGTTTATAATTTGGCAACATTTGCAGATGACTTACGTACAAATGCAGCAATTATTAAGGGGAAAATCCTAAAAATTAAATTCAAATTTAACCATTTGAGAAAATTTATTGTTAAAATAACAACACAGAATCGAAATTATTAAGGAAAAATAAAATAATAAATTTTATGTTAATTCAAATGATTAAATAATAAATTTAACCGTGTTGTAATGTTTATTAAAATTAAAATGATATCTGGCGAAAGCTTTGGTTTTTCCAATAGCTTATTAAAGGATATAAATATTGGTACCACTAAATATTTTTAAATAATAATCTCAAATCTAATCAAAATGTTGACAAAATTTATTTATGTTTTAATTTATTGGTAATATAACTTATGGAGGAAAATTTTAAAAATTCATGTCTTAAATAAATCAAATGTTATTGTAATATCCAGGAATTTCGTTATAGTCGTTTTTATTAGGAATTAGGACCTTACAGTGAGAAATTGAAAATCTAAGGACCAATTGTTTAGTTTATATTGTTTAGGAACCAAATTGTGGCCTATTCATAGCTAAGGACATAATTGAAATTTTGCAGGATCACTTTCTTTTTCTTTTCAAGGTTATGAATGCCAATTACCGTAATTAGGGGCAACT